AGCTGAGGAGGATAAAGACGAGGAAGGCTGCGGGTCCAGACGGCATCAGCTCCAGGCTCCTGAAGTCCTGCGCAGACCAACTGTGCGGGATAGCTGAAACCATCTTCAACCTGAGCCTGAGGCTGGGGAGAGTACCACAGCTGTGGAAGACATCCTGCGTGGTACCTGTGCCCAAGACTCCGCACCCCAAGGACTTCAGCAGCTTCAGACCGGTGGCATTAACATCGCACCTCATGAAGACTCTGGAGCGCCTGGTCCTGTCTCGTCTCCGCCCCGCAGTAGGCCCTTCAATGGACCCGCTGCAGTTTGCTTACCAGCCTGGCATTGGGGTGGACGACGCCGTCATCTTCCTCCTGCATAGAGCTCTTTCTCACCTGGAGAAGCCTGGAAGCTCTGTGAGAATCATGTTCTTTGATTTTTCCAGCGCTTTCAACACCATATAGCCTGCACTTCTGAGGGACAAACTGGAGCACATAGGGGTGGCTAATCACCTCACATCCTGGATCCTGGACTACCTCACGGACCAGCTGCAGTATGTCAGGACCCAGGATTGTGTATCGGACTTCGTTGTCTGCAGTACAGGGGCCCCGCAGGGGACAGTGCTGGCACCGTTCCTCTTCACCCTCTACACTGCAGACTTTTCATACGACACCCCCACCTGTCATCTGCAGAAGTTCTCTGACGACTCTGCCATCGTCGGCCTCATCACAGATGGGGACGACAGGGAGTACAGAGAACTGAACCAGGACTTTGTGGACTGGTGCCTGAAGAACCACCTTCAGATCAACGCGGGAAAACCAAAGAGCTGGTGGTGGATTTACACAGGTGCAGACTCCTCCCCCAAACACCAGTGAACATCCAGGGAAAGGACATTGAGATGGTGACATCTTATAAGTACCTGGGTGTTCATCTTAACAACAAACTGGACTGGACCAATCACATAACAGCACTGTACAAGAAAGGCCAAAGCAGACTCTACCTGCTGAGGCGGCTCTGGTCTTTTGGAGTGCAGGGGGCGCTCCTGAAGACCTTCTCTGACACTATGGTGGCGTCAGCCATCTTTTATAGAGTGGTCTGCTGGGGCAGCAGCATCTCGGCTGCAGATAGGAAGAGACTAGACAAGCTGATCAAGAAGGCCAGCTCTGTCCTGGGATGCTCTCTGGACTCTGTGCAGGTGGTGGGAGAAAGGAGGGTGACAGCCAAGCTGTCATTTCTGAGGACTGTTGGGAATCAACATATATTTACCTCACACGGTGGCACCAAATATGTTGGGGTCAACACACTAGGCTTCACACGGAGGTATCAAATATGTTGGGGTTAAATTGGCTATCGGAAATAATTAATAATTATTATTAATAATTAATAATTATGTTAAATAATGTGATTTAATTAACATTAAATCACCTTGTGGGGCACCATTCCCATAAAGGGAAAAATGATAGCCAGTTAAAGGTATCAGTCTCATAAAATAGGCTAAACTATTAATTTGGAGTTTGATTAATATTTAAATTAATGACAACAACCAGAATTAACAGCAACACCTGAAGGATTTCGGAGTTCTTGACGCAGCAGAGGTTGACTATTCATTCACTCTTGTGTAACATTAAACAAACAGCAGGCATGATTCCAAAGAATTAAATTTATTCACAAATTAGCAAAGCAAACCAAACCCACAAATTCTAACTAACTATATACAAGCTTGGTGTGTATATATGTGTGTGTGTGTGTGTGTGTGTGTGTGTGTGAGAGAGAGAGAAAAGAGAAAGAAAGACAAAGGCGGGTGTGGTGATCAAGTAGCTGTTTGGCCTACAAAACAAAATGGCCGACAACGGAGAACTACCAAAATTGCAGAATCAAGGCTGGCTTCAAGGGGGAGGTGTTTGTCTGACCGTGTGGTCAGGACAAAGACAAAGGAAAAGAAGCGGGAACTTTGAGATGCCTATTTGGATGTAGCTCTGTTGAAAGCCTGTTTGTTAATGAGTCTGTGTCAATGTGACGTGTGTTGCAAACGGTCTGAATTAGTGCAGAGATTGTTTAGTTGCATGCAAGAATCTGTTTGTGAACAGTATTAGCAAACTAAACACTTAGCTTTAGCGAAACCAACTAATCAATGACCTAACTGCAATCTAGCACAACAATACTCAGTAAGCAGCATCAAATCACGTACAACAAGTTAAACAGTCTTGCTTAGCCTGTAAAGCTGTGATAAGCTATGCCCAGTTGTTACATTACCGATCCTTGAATGGATGGAGGAAAGAGTCACTTGGTGGTGCTGCTTTGTTAGCCAGCAGAAGAAGGCTGGGAAGGTGTGGTTTCAGCTGCAGTCTTTGTGGTGTCCTTTGTTCCAAAGGTTCTGATCCGAGGAAGCTGGTCGCTCGGGATCCTTGCGGAGTTAGACGCTGGGTGCTAACTCACTTAGTTCCTTGTTGCTGGAAAGCTTGTTTGCAAACCTTGTGTTTGCCAGAGAGTCTGTGATCAGTTGCCCTCCCTTTAGTGGTTTGGGCTATGGAGCAGGGGTTCGGGCCTCTGCTGTCCAGGCCCAAACGGGAAGAGGTGTTAGCTGCTGAAGCAGCTGGAGTAAAGAGCACTGCTCCACGGTTGGAGCAGAGAGAGGAAGTTCTGTGGAAGGGAGCAGATCTTGTACAAAAGGCCTGTGACATCACAGAGTCACATGTCACTGTAAAAGGTCTTGTCCAATCAAGTTTGGGACTTGAGTCTCACTGAGGTGTGAGGTAAGACCTCCTGTGGAGATGGGTGCCACCTAGCTCTCTTTGTTTGAAGACAAAGAGCATGCAGAGGAAAAATTCTTGAAATCAGTGATGATTTTACCAAATGATAAATCATCTGTGGTCCTGTGAATCCCAACAGGACTAATGACTCCCATCCTCTGCAGGAGGAGATAAAAGCTCTGGAGAGCTCCTTCGGCGATAGACTGATTCACCCAAAGTGTGTGAAGGAACGCTATCGCAGGTCTTTCCTGCCTGCTGCTGTCAGGCTTCATAACCAGCACTGCTCACAGTAAACTGCACCATGGACACTTTAGGGACACTATGGACACTTATGGACACCACTATAAGCATTGTTGTCCCCCATGTTGTTGTTTATTTGCACATTCAGTATTCACTTGCACTAAATATGTTCACTTTAATCCATTGCTCACTTTTTTTATCCACTGCTCATTATTATTATTGTTATTATTTATTGCTGTTTCTTCTATCTTTTGTACTTTTTTCTGCATGCATAGTTTTTTAAGTTTTTAAATATTGAAATCTTTAATTTGATTCTTTCCCCTTGACTGCTGTAACACTGGAATATTTCACTGCTGTAACACTGGACATTTCTTACAGTGTAGCTGAGTTAAGAAGAGACCACTTCACACTCAGTATGGACAGGAGGAATATTTACTGCCACAATAACTCTTTTAATGTGCATGTGGCTGTTGAACAAACTTGAACAAATGTGTCCCTCTCCTTTTTATTCCATATATAAATACAGTATGAAGGTCATGTAAGAAATGAATGAATGAACAGTGTTTTAGTCCAACGTGTCTGATTTGATATTGATCCTCTAAATACAGACTTGACTGAGATCAGCAGCATGTTGTTAATCTGTGTTGATATGAATAGGTGAATGAATGTTGTGGTGACATTTGGGTGATGTCTGTAGAAGGCTGACATCATGATGATCCACAAAAACACAATGACAAAGTCACTCTACTCAGTTTAGGGCAAAGCTCATTGATCAGGACATAGTAATGTCGAGCTACATATTTAACACCTGAACACATCTGATTGTATTATTAATGATTTTTATCTACATCATTTATTCTTCATTCAGACTGAGGAGATGCTGGTTGTCAGAGATCAGCTGTGTTTCACTGGCCTCAGCTCTGAAGTCCAACCCCTCCCATCTGAGAGAGCTGGAGCTGAGTGACAACAAGCTGCAGGATTCAGGAGTGAAGCAGCTGTGTGATTTTCTGGAGAGTCCACACTGTAAACTGGAGACTCTGAGGTCAGACACCATTTTTTACTCCTGTGCTGAGATTATTATGATGTGAAAGTTGTGTTGACACTAAACTGCAGACATCAGGCTGATATTATACTCATCCACAATGAAGTCTATTTGTCTTGTTCAGTGGTTTAATCCATTAACTGTGGCAGAGCAATGTGGAGCTAAAACCTTAAAGATAAACTCTGCAGGATCTTCCTTCAAAACTACGGAAATGTATTGCATTCGCTTGACAAATAAAAAAAAATCTGTTTTCTCAGTAATTTTTTTTCTGTTTTTCGTGTTTTGTTTTTTTTTTGTTTGTTTTTCGGGGTAATTTTTTCTGTTTGAGTATTTTTTTCTGAGTTAAGAGAGAAATAGAACAACAGACACTTTCATTCTTTTCTTGAGAGCTCAATATAATGGAAGATAACATGACCCGCATGTTTAGTTCAATCCCGTTTTACTTTGTTTTGGGTTTGAGACACTGGGAGATACTCTTGTCTTTAAGTCACAGATGGTGTTATCATTAGTTTGTTGACTTTACGCAGGCACCTTAAAGGGAAATTTCGGTTTATTTCAACCCGTCTCCTATCGTCCTAAATTTCAAGTCACTAGTGACATAGAAATAATAGTTAGCATGTTAGCCGTTAGCCTAGATACAGCTGTAGCGTCAGACCTGTTAAAACGTAATTGAACGGGCATCCTTTCAAGTGCAAAGTTAGTCCACTAAACAAGCTTTTTCTCCACAAAGACCGCCTCATATCGTTAGGATAAATGTCAGAGAACATATAGAAAACAACATGTCAACGTGTTGTCTAACCTTACCGGTGTGCTGCCATGTTTGTTGTTTACTATTGAGCTAAGGCTGCAACCGGTCCCATTCCTTGCAACAGAGGTATTGCTCTTCTGTGGGCATTGGGGCACAGCATTCACAGGTAACGTTACACCACCGATCTCCAGAGCTAAATCCTTCCAGCAGCCATTCCTCCTCTGTCGTCCTCTAACGTTATCTGTTGTGCCTCTCTCTCTCTCCTCCTCCGTTCTTCAATTTGATGAAGCTCTTCGTCAGTGTATTCTGGCTCAAATAAATAAGGGCGGCCATCGCCTCTCGATGTGGAAAGCCTATATACTAACATTCCACATTTAGGTGGTCTTCAGAGTTGTTGTCTTACCTTACAGTGTGTTTACCATTTACCTCTGCTTCCCAAAGCGCGGCCAAAATATCGCGAGAACAAGCAGCGATCTCATACCGTGCCTGAAATCTCGCGAGAACAAGCCGCAGCAGCTGCAAGGCAGAACCGGACAGTAGCCTGAAAGGTTCATTCATTTATTTTATGAAAGATTTATAAAATAATGGCTGACTTTTTGCCAGACTTTGTGGCGGAGGAATTTGATTTTGCAGAGTTTTATGGCCACCCTTATTTATTTGAGCCAGAATACACTGACGAAGAGCTTCGTCAAATTGAAGAACGAAGGAGGAGAGAGAGAGAGAGGCACAACAGGTAGAGGACGAAAGAGGAGGAATGGCTGCTGGAAGGATTTAGCTCTGGAGATTGGTGGTGTAATGTTACCTGTGAATGCTGTACCCCAGTGCCCACAGAAGAGGAATACCTCTGTTGCAAGGAATGGGACCGGTTGCAGCCTTAGCTAAATGGTAAACAACAAACATGGCACCACACCGGTAAGGTAAGACAACACGTTTACATGTCGTTTTCTATATGTTCTCTGACATTTATCCTAACGATATGAGGCGGTCTTTGTGGAGAAAAAGCTTGTTTAGTGGACTAACTTTGCACTTGAAAGGATGCCCGTTCAATTACGTTTTAACAGGTCTGACGCTACGGCTGTATCTAGGCTAACGGCTAACATGCTAACTATTATTTCTATGTTACGAGTGACTTGAAACAAATTTAGGACGATAGGAGACGGGTTGAAATAAACCGAAATTTCCCTTTAAGACTTTGCGGTTGTTCAGACAAAAAGCCCATTCAGATCTGCTGGACATTGCAGTGTTTCTCCAGAATCAGTTGGACACATATGGCAAGCTCCATAGATACAAGATGATGCATCTGAAATGCATTCAGGCTGGCTACGTGGTGACAAGAGACAATCAGGAGACTGATGAAAATATTGGATCCATGGGGAGTGCAGCTGAGGCGCCGGAATCGCCTTCGGCGACGTGTGTAGATATATATATACATATGTCGCCGAAGGCGATTCCGGATATGGACGACCACCCCGTCAAAACAATACTCCTGATCTGCACCAGGACATCAGAGTTAAACGTTAGGGGAGAGTCAACAGAAATGACAGACGGGATATCTAAGTGTTTTCTCACATCCTTCCACACCAATAACGTGTTGTAAATGATTATGTTGTGATCAAGGGAATTTATTTGGTCTGTATTATTGATAAAAAGTAGGGATTTAAGTCTTCTGGGATAACATGCTAGAGACTCAAGACTAAGCCATAAAGCTTCTCGCTGATACGTAAACCAGTCTGACATCATTTTGAGCTGAGCCGACCAATAGTATAATTGTAAGTTACCCTCCCCCCCGGGCTCAGAAGCACCATGGGTCCAATGGAAAACGCTCAACCGCCTGAGAACAGGAACAGGGCAATCAAAAGCTGCCATGGCCAGATGGGGCTATGAAACTGGCCAAATCACCTGTGAATGTGGAGAAGAGGACCATACAATGCAGCACTGCCTTGTCTGCCCCCTACTACGCAACCAGTGCAGCTCAAAGGATCTTGCAGTGTTCAATAAAAATGCAAAGGACTGTGTAAAGAAATGGGAAACTGTCATATAACCAATCAGCTTCAAAGACACAAAAAAAAGAAGAAGAGGGAGAGATAAACCTCCTAATTCCTTCGGTTTTGTAAGTTTGGAGAACTTAACCCCTTGGTGTTTGTTGTTCCAAGGATGTTCATTTTAATGACATTGATCCTTCAGAGGAACAATGTCAGTAAGGAGGTCCATGTCTTCAAATCCATCTTAATTTTTTGAGTTAATGGAGAGTAATTGTCTCAAATAAGTTATTCAAATCAAGAGTGATGAAAACACCCAGATATCTGAGACCCTCATCCGTTATTTGACATTGTTGTCATCCGTTAGTTGACAACAAGTACGCTTGTTACTATAAATAAGTGCAATAAAACCTTGAGCAGTAAAAAGCTAGTGCTTTATCAATACACGTGTTCAGCATGTAGAAAGACATATTTCAATCTGCTCTGTCCCTCATTCACCGCCGCTATGGTTTACAATCACATTTTACACAAGCACATCACACTAGTGGGACCAATAGCAAATAGTTAAAGGTAAAGTAAAATGAAAGCTGTGTGTATGTAGTCTGTTTAACTTAGTTTGTCACTTATCTTAAAATGTACCTGAGACAGCCTACCTGTGGACTGAAAATGTCTGGCCCATTAACATTTTCTGGTTTAAAATCCAGCCCAGTTGAATTTGTAATTGAACAGCCCTGCTTTAAACACTTGATTTCAACTTAAATTTACCCTGATGATTCTTTAAATAAGTGATTTATGTTTGGCTGCACAACATGAGTTAGTGATGATGGAGCCACTGGTGGAGCTGGCAGAGTTTAAGAGGTGAAGTCACTACATCTTTATTGAAGTAGCAGCACGTTGTCAATGATATTTATGAGATGTTTTTCACTTTTTGTATTTTCCAGTCTTTAACCTGCATCCTGTTGGGATCAGCACAATAACACAATGACAAAGTCACTCTACTCAGTTTAGGGCAAAGCTCATTGATCAGGACATAGTAATGTCGAGCTACACATTTAACACCTGAACACATCTGATTGTATTATTAATGATTTTTATCTACATCATTTATTCTTCATTCAGACTGAGGGGCTGCAGTTTGTCAGAGATCAGCTGTGTTTCACTGGCCTCAGCTCTGAAGTCCAACCCCTCCCATCTGAGAGAGCTGGACCTGAGTGGAAACAAGCTGCAGGATTCAGGAGTGAAGCAGCTGTGTGATTTTCTGGAGAGTCCACACTGTAAACTGGAGACTCTGAGGTCAGACACCATTTTTTACTCCTGTGCTGAGATTATTAAGATGTGAAAGTTGTGTTGACACTAAACTGCAGACATCAGGCTGATATTATACTGATCCACAATGAAGTCTATTTGTGTTGTTCAGTGGTTTAATCCATTGACTGTGGCGGAGCAATGTGGAGCTAAAACCTTAAAAATAAACTCTGCAGGATCTTCCTTCAAAACAGTGTATAGACTCATACAGAAATAATCCCTCTCGATCAATCAATCAATCAATCAATCAGTCAATTTTATTTATAAAGCCCAATACCACAAATAACAATTTGCCTCAGAGGGCTTTCCAGCATACGACATCCCTCTATCTTTTGGACGCTCACAGCAGATAAGGAAAAACTCCTCAAAAACGGTAGAAACCTCAGGAAGAGCAACTGAGGAGGGATCCCTCTTCCAGGATGGACAGACGTGCAATAGATGTCGTACAGAACAGATCAACATGATAAATGAACAGTAATCCGTATGACACAATGAGACATAAAGAGAGACAGAGACAGAGAGAGATGCAGGACAGACAGTAATGATAATAGCTTACAACAACATTCATTTAAGTAATAATATTACAATAATAATTACAGCTATTGTGGTACAATATGTTGTAGGTATATATTAATATATGATAGTATATGTATGTGACAATAATCATATGTGTATAATAATAATAATAATAATAATACATTTTATTTATACAGCACTTTTACAGCTCTCAAAGACACTTTACATTTAAAACCAAAGAAAAGAAGTACATACATGTAAGTGCGACGAGATAAACAGAAGACAAGGACAATATAAAACAACAAAGTGCAAAAACATAGTGCAAAACAAAGAAAAGGAGGGCACATGAGGAACAGAGAACGAAAAGCTAATGTTAAAGGTTAAAAGCGGATTTGAAAAGGTGGGTTTTGAGGAGTGATTTGAAGGTGGATGGATTTGGACAGTCACGGATGTGTATAGGGAGGGTGTTCCAGAGGGAGGGGGCGGCTATGGAGAAGGTTCTGTCGCCCCAGGTTCGGTGCTTGGTCCTGTGTGGAGGTGAGAGGATGTTTTTGTCGGATGATCAAAGGTTGCGGGAGGGAGTGTGGTGGTGGAGCATGTCCGTGAGGTAGTAGGGGGCCTGGCTGTGGAGGGCTTTGTGGGTGAGGAGGAGGATCTTGAAATTGATTCTGTACAGGACAGGGAGCCAGTGTAGGTTTTGCAGGACAGGGGTTATAGGTTCACGGGAGCTGGTGTGGGTGAGGAGGCGGGCAGCAGAGTTTCGGATGTACTGAAGTTTGTTGAGGACTTTGGATGATGAGCCGTAGAGGATGCTGTTGCAGTAGTCCAGTCTTGAGGTGATGAAAGCATGGATGAGAGTTTCAGCGGCAGAGAAGGAGAGTAATGGACGGAGACAGGCAATATTTCTAAGGTGAAAGAAGGCAGTTTGGGCGAGGCGGCTGATGTGATGTTCAATTGAGAGGATTTTGTCGAAGATGATACCAAGGTTGCGGATGAATGGGGAGGGAGAGAGGGTGGTGTTGTCGATGCTGAGGGTGAAGTTTTGTGTTGACATAGAGAAGGATTTTGGGCCGATGAGTATTATTTCAGATTTGTCACAGTTCAGTTTGAGGAAGTTGGCTTGCAGCCATGATTGAAGTTCAGTCAGACAGTTGGTGAGGGTAGAGCGGGTGGCCGGGGTGATGGATTTTGTGGAGATGTAGAATTGGATGTCGTCAGCGTAGCAGTGGAAATGGAGACCATGACGACAAATGATAGAATGATAGAAGTGGATGATGAAGAGGAGAGGACCAAGCACCGAGCCCTGAGGGACACCTTGAAGCAGGGGGACGGTGGAGGAGGTGCAGTTGTTGACGTGGATGAACTGATGTCTGTCGGTGAGGTATGATTTGAGCCAGGAGAGAACAGAGCCAGAGACAATAGAAGTATGACTAATAATAACAGCAGCAGCAGGAGGCATCAGGCAGGACCACGGCAACAGCACAACCACACACGTCACACCATCCAGGCACCACTGTGATACAAGGTAACCTGCAAGACAGTGGAGCACAAAGGCTCTGGAGGAGAAGCCGAGTTAGTGACATGCAGTAGAGCCGAGTTAGCCGAGTTACTCATGTCCTGCGTAACAGGACATGAGTGTTAGCAAAGGAGAGAGAGACAGACAGACAGACAGACAGACAGACTTTATTTGGTTTATATTATTGATAAAAGGTAGGGATTTAAGTCTTCTGGGATAACATGCAAGAGACTCAAGACTAAGCCATAAAGCTTCTTGCCTATACGTAAACCAGTCAGACATCATTTTGAGCTGAGCCGACCAATAGTATAACTGTAAGTTAGGGAGAGATAAACCTCCTAATTCCTTCGGTTTAGTAAGTTTGGAGAACTTTAGTAAGTTTGGAGAACTAAAAAGCCAGTGCTTTATCAATACATGTGTTCAGCATGTAGAAAGACATATTTCAGTCTGCTCTGACCCTCATTCACCGCCGCTATGGTTTACAATCATGGTTTACACAAGCACATCACACTAGTGGGACCAATAGCAAATAGTCAAAGACAAACTAAAATGAAAGCTGTCTGTATGTAGTCTGTTTAACTTAGTTTGTCATTTATCTTAAAATGTACCTGAGACAGCCTACCTGTGGACTGAAAATGTCTGGCCCATCAACATTTTCTGGTTTAAAATCTGGCCCAGTTGAAATTGTAATTGAGCAGCCCTGCTTTAAACACTTGATTTCAACTTAAATTTACCCTGATGATTCTTTAAATAAGTGATTTGTGTTTGGCTGCACAACATGAGTTAGTGATGATGGAGCCACTGGTGGAGCTGGCAGAGTTTAAGAGGTGAAGTCACTACATCTTTATTGAAGTAGCAGCACGTTGTCAATGATATTTATGAGAGCTGTTTTTCACTTTTTGTATTTTCCAGTCTTTAACCTGCATCCTGTTGGGATCAGCACAATAACACAATGACAAAGTCACTCTACTCAGTTTAGGGCAAAGCTCATTGATCAGGACATAGTAATGTTGAGCTACACATTTAACACCTGAACACATCTGATTGTTTTATTAATGATTTTTATCTACATCATTTATTCTTTATTCAGACTGAGGGGCTGCAGTTTGTCAGAGATCAGCTGTGTTTCTCTGGCCTCAGCTCTGAAGTCCAACCCCTCCCATCTGAGAGAGCTGGAGCTGAGTTTCAACAACCTGCTTGATTCAGATGTGAAGCAGCTGTGTGATCTGAAGGAGAGTCCACACTGTAAACTGGAGACTCTGGAGTAAGTAGAGGGTTGGAGTGGGTCCATGCTGGTTTCAGCAGTATTATATTAAACACAGTTAGTATCAGAGCAAAGATCCAGTACTTCCTGTAAACCTCAGACCTTCTCAGTGGCTCAAAGAGGGGAATGGTGACAGTCTTCAGGAGAGGACAGAGAGACAGACAGAGAGAACAGTCAGCCAATCAGATCAGAAAGAAGCTTGTTGAGATCATGTGTTTAAGTTGATGTGAAGACGACTGTTGTTGTGTTCATGTCTACAGGAAGTGAAGCTGGATTACAGCTGACAGCATCACAACATGTATAGAGACAGCTGTCCTCCTTCATCAAACTGTCACACCATCAAATCTGACCTTGATAACAGGGGACCTGTTATGCTTTCCTGTTTCTGTGTGTGTGTGTGTGTGTGTGTGTGTGTGTGTGTGTGTGTGTGTGTGTTTTATATAGCCTATAGTGTTTTAATGAAGGATGTTGGTATTAAATGTGGCCAAAGTTTCAGATAATGAGGTAAATGTATGTAAAAGTAATCCCTGTGAACAAAAACCTCAGACTTCAGACTGTTGTGAATACCCTGTGTTCAACGGCTTTTTCTACTGAAGCTAAGATTTCTTTATAAGGCAAACAACTATGAGGCGGTAATTCTAGTTTGAACATTAAAGCATGTAAACAGGTTGTAGTAGAAACCCAGAATCCAAATATGAAGCTGTTAATGAGCATAATATGTCCTCTTTAAAGTGTTTGTTGTCTTCATCTTTGTCACAGCTCTGAGATCAGTCTGACTGAAGCCTACAAATCACTGGCTCTTATTTTATAGAACCATCATTACATTTAGTAACCATGTGTTCTTTATACAGAGCAGAACCTCTGCTGAAGTCCAGTAATCACAGCTGATGTGTTGCTGTTCAGTCTTTGGATGAACATGTAGAACATTTAACATGATATATCTGTCCATCAGTCATTTGTTCTAACAGACTCAGTAAATCCATCATTAAAGTGAATCCCTCTGTTTGTGCAGCCATGATGCGTTCAGGACTCTCAGCAGTTTATTTACACTGTGTACTTGAGTGAAATCTGCAGAGTAAACAGACTTGATACCCAAAGTCTCTGCAGGTCTGTGAGCTTCCAGCTTAGTGTGTTCACTCCAACACGTTAACATTAGAGCTGGAAGGAAGCCGACTACGCTACACAGCCGCTCCACTCTGCTCTGAACAGGAAGTCCCTACTGGTCTTTAAACTGGATGTGCTGCATCACTGACTGACAGCTGGTTTATAACTTCTCTTGTCTTCTTCTCTCATCAGCTGGAGGCCATGAGAGGATCAGCTGTGTCCTGATGATCCAGAGGGAGACTCTGACTGGACCATGTTACTGGGAGGTAGCGTGGAGAGGAGAGCTTCATCCAGTAGTGACTGACAGGAGTCACAGGTGGAGATGACTCTCAGTGCTGCAGCCTGAACTGCTCTGAGATCAACTCCACTGTCAGACACAATGTGAAGTCCACCATCATCCCTGTGTGTTCCTCTGGATCTGACAGTATCATCATCATCAGTGTGTCAATGACTGCTCTGTCCTTCTACATTGAAACTCCTCCACTCCTCCTGCTCTACACTCAACCACCTCCTCCACCCTCCACCTGGACCTCACCTGAATCTGACTGCAGATTTTTACTGTTAATGACGACATGGGGTCAGACTGGGAACAAAATTCGGCCCTGGCATTTTTCATCTGGACATTTCACATTTCGCACCAGTCCGAGCCTGTCTCCACCCTGTTAGTCTGGCTCTCTGGATGTGGACTGTGGCTATCAGCCTGCCATGGGGCTGCTGATTACAGCCGTCATTCTCCCTTCCTTTAACTATCTGCGTGTTCGTGTTTCCAAATCCTTCACTACAGGAAACAACAACAACCTGCGAGCTAACAACTTACACACTGAAGATGGCGAGTTGTGTCAAAGATTTGGATCGTGCAATAAGGCGTGTTTGCTTTGTTGTTTCAGGGAATTGTTTTAAAAATCTACAACAAATCAAACAACTTGTGAACGCACCTCAGAAAAGCCTCGACTCCGTCTTGCAGGACTATCATGCCTGATGTCCATCTGTTTTCTGACTTGGCCAGTCAGAGTTGATATGTCACATCTTGTAACTCTGGCAGCAGCATGCTCCAGTCACCGTGACTTAAGGGGGAACTAAACCCCCCTCTCTGGGCATTACTCCGCCCACTGCTTGATTTAAAAAAAATCAGAAAAGATCAGGTGAGCGGCTGAGGAAGGGGGGCAGAGTGAAGATTGTCCCTCCCTGCGGGGAGAGGAGAGAGGGCTTTTCACTGTGCCGATGGTGTCTTAGAAACCCCCCCCCCCAACTGTGTCACACGGGCAGAAGGGAAGGGACTTATTTTATCCTACTTAGTTCTATTTCTCCCTCTCTGGGAGCCTGGGCTCACCACGCAGCAGCCCACCGCATCCATCCACCCCTCCCTCCTTCGCGGTCCCACAGATATACTCCCGAGGCTCGGCTCTCTGTCACGGCACAGCGGCCCTCCACTTCCCTCACTCGCCGCACTGCACATATACTCCCGAGCCTCAGCGCCTCTCCTTGACCAACTAATCTAAATACTATAAACACACTACTAACTGTAAACCGACACTAAAATACACTATTCTAACAATACAATTTGACAAATTCCTAGCTATTCTCTCTGCTCTGATCCAACCTACTCGCTATCAGTTTGATAACTGCGGACAGAATGGTTTTATAGTAAGGAGAGGAGTAAAGGGAGGAGGGCAGGCTTTAGCGTGGACGGTTAGTGACGTCATTCGCCTCGAAGAAGAGTCATTCGCCTTCAATGTAATGTAATGTAAATTCAAATGTAGTTACCAGGTTTGAAGCTGTAGAGGGCACTCCATACCACATTTTAAAAATAAAATGTAGATTTTCAACAGTTTGCACTAAACTGTCAAGATTTTGAGCAGGATCAGTCAGTAACACTACTATACAACCAGAAACAATGATTATCAACTTAAAAAAAATGGTTTTAGGGTTTAGATACTCTTTAACTAATGTACCGACCTGTTCCACTTCACAGGAGCTTTTGTGTTACTGTTGTCAAGACGATCTGCTGGAGCCACATACAGCAACTCATCTGTCAGTACTAGTGTTAAACATTGTTATTTCTATTTATTGAATTGTATTACTTTATATTCACATACTTCTGTTTCATACTCCTATTTTTACTTATAATTCTTTAGTCTTTACATCAGAGCGGCTGCAACGAATCACAATTTCTCCTTGGGGATCAATAAAGTATTTCTGATTCTGAAAGTTGAATCACACAGTGACATACGACCGTTAATAAGGATCGGAGGCCCCACGTTGTGATATGATCAAGATATAATATCATTGCCATTTTAAATGTTTTGCGATACGCTGGGTATTATGATAACATATACAGTTGCAATCAAAATTATTCAACCCCCATTGCATATTAGGCTTATTAGCAAAATAAAATTTTTCAGCTGTTTGCAATAAACAAAGTAGACAAGAACAGTTGAAATAGTTTAATAAAACTAATATTACCATGGTTTTTATCCAAATTCAACATAAAATGCTACTTTTAATCACTACTGCAGTCTCAAAATTATTCAACCCCCTGTTTCAAGCACACCTGGTGCAACTAATCAAGGGCTTCATTAGTTCAGGTGTGCTTGAGACAGAACACATAAATACCTGGACTGGCTAGGGTTTTGTTGAGAGTGACGTTTGATTGCATGTTAGAAATATGGCTAAGTCAAAAGAATTGTCCAAAAGTTCAGAGAAGAAATCATTGCCTTGCACAAACAAGGTAAAGGATACAAAAAGATAGAAAAAGCTCTGAATGTTCCTAGAGATACAGCTGGAAGCATAGTTCGCAAGTTCAAAGTTAAAGGAACAGTGGCTACACTACCTGGACGTGGCAGAAAGAGGAAACTATCAGCGGCTGCCACCAGATTCCTGAGGAGGCAAGTGGTCAAAAACCCTCGAGTGACTGCAAAACACCTGCAGCAAGACTTGGTGGCAGCAGGCACTGAGGTTTCAGTTTGCACAATAAGGTGCATGCTAAACACTGAAGGGCTCCATGCCGGGACTTCAAGACGTACACCACTACTGACCCAAAAGCACAAGAAAAGTCGGCTCCAATATGCTCAAAACCATATAAATAAGCCACAGAAGTTTTGGAATTCTGTTCTGTGGAGTGATGAAACAAAACTGGAACTTTTCGGGCCTTTGGAACAGCGGTATGTCTGGAGGAAGAAGAATGAAGCATATGCTGAAAAGAACACCCTGCCTACAGTGAAGCATGGCAGTGGCTGAGTGATGCTCTGGGGCTGCTTTGCTGCCTCTGGCACTGGAAACCTGCAGCGTGTGGAGGGCACGATGGATTCAGTCAAGTATCAGGAAATCTTAGGTAAAAACGTCGTGCCGTCTGTGAGGAAGCTGAAGCTTGGGCGTCATTGGACCTTCCAACAGGATAATGATCCCAAGCATACCTCAAAGTCCACCAAGGCTTGGTTTCAGAAGAAGAAATGGAAGATTCTAGAGTGGCCGTCACAGTCACCTGACTTGAACCCCATAGAAAATCTCTGGTGGGATTTGAAGAAGGTGGTTGCAAAACGCACACCCAAGAATATTACTGAACTGGAGGCCATTGCCCATGAGGAATGGGCTAAGATTCCTCAGGAACGTTGTCTGAAGCTGGTGTCTGGCTATGCATCACGTTTGCAGCAGGTCATAACAGCAAAAGAGTGCTCTACTAAGTACTGAAGATGCTTGTCATGAAGGGGCTGAATAATTTTGAGACTGCAGTAGTCATTAAAAGTAGCATTTTGTGTTGAATTTGGATCAAAACCCTTGTAATATTAGTTTCATTGAACTACTTAAACAGTTCTTGTGTAATTTGTTTATTGCAAACAGCTGAGAAATTGTATATTTTGCCAATAGGCCTAATATGCAATGGGGGTTGAATAAATTTGATTGCAACTGTACTTGTATTTATTTTCAACTGCAAAGAAAAACTGTCAACACCAGAATTATCTAATAATATGCATCCTGGGCCAAGCTCCGCCCAGGACGACTGTGATTGGATTAAAGAAACAAAAGCAATCCAGAGTGTTTTCCTCCCATATGTCAGAAACATAATGGATGATTGCAGACCTTTCTCTGGTGCTGACACAGCGCTGTGGAGATAGATCTGGCTTTGTGAGACTGCCACACTGTGGAAAGATGGAGAACTGATGTTCATTTTCTTGTTCTCCTGTATCTCAGGTTGATGTCAGAATGCACAAGTCTGCATGTATGTTGAATCATTCTCATCAGAGTCAGATTATATGTCTGTAAACGTCTTCTTTATTCTTCTGTGTGTTCAGGTTATTTCATATGAATCATTATATTCTGTAACTGACTGCAGCAGTCACCAGTGTGTTGACACAATAAATCAATGGAGACAAAATGTTTTTAAGCCACCTCAAGAAATCAAAATCAGTTTACACTATGTTTAGAATATTTTCACTGCATTTACATTTTTGGTTTCATGATGGTGAACCCAAATGTTGACATCAGAACACTCTTACATATTTCCAGTGGTGAAAGTGTTCAGATCTTTACTTTAAAAATACTTGTTCCCTCAAGTGCTTTGTTCCCTCATCTTGAGTCATTTGAGTCTGATTTTGAATGTTTGCATGGAGTTGATCAATATTTAATAAAGCAGGTATTTCCATGAGCACTCAGTGAGTTTAATAAATTCATGTCAGATCCTTGTTGTCTTGTTGTGTTCTGTGTACGTTTCTGAGACTTTTCTGAGCAGCACTCTGGACTCTGCGTGTCCACCATTCAGCTGGATTATCATATTCATATGTCAGATGAGAACAGAGGTGAGAAACATAAAGTGTGTTCATAAAGTCATGTATTTCCCTCTGTGTGATGTGACTCTGAGCTGCAGACCAAGAGTCACAATGTCTTCCTTCCACCTCACAGCTGATTTCTATAAAGATGGCGTCTTCATCAGGAGCAGCTCCGCAGGAAACATGACCATCCACAGTGTTTCTCCATCTGATGAAGGACTCTACAAATGTAACTGTGTTTCTGGAGCTGGAGGATCAGCAGACAGCTGGCTGACTGTCAGAGGTGAGGGGGGTTTCACTCAAGTTACATTTGTCTTCAGCTCTTCATACAAAAAACCAGCAATGCAATGTGACGAAAAAACGAAGAAGAAGAAATCCTGACGTTTCAAATTTAAAGTCCAGAGGAGAAAATGTGTGTGGTTGTTTTTTAAGTTGAGTCTAGTTTACTTTACAACTTTTATCTTTGAATGAGGAATATTTAAGTCTGTCATCAGTATTTTAGAAAAGTTTTACTGGTAACTGTGAAATAAAGTAACACTTTGACATACAGTCGTGAAAAAATTAGGACACCCTATGAAAGCCTGTGTGTTTTTGGACATATGGATATTTAATATCAATTCTAACAATACTGGGAGATTCAGGTAATATAACTAAACAATTAAAACTTAAGAAAAGATTTTTATAACTTTCTGTAAAATGTAATTTTAAAAAAATGCAATTTCTGGTGAGGAATAAATTAGGACACCCCCACATTTATTCCCACTTAAAATGGCTAAAATCACACACAGGTGTATCACATCAGGTGCACATGATTAGAACATCGTTACTCAGCATTTTGAAGGAGGCTTGCCCTTTTAAACCTCAGACATTTAGTTTGGTGTGCTCCAGACTGCTGAAGTGACAGTGAACACCATGGTGAGATCAAAAGAGCTGTCTGAGGCCTTCAGAAAGAAGATTGTAGCAGCTTATGAGTCTGGTAAGGGATTCAAAAAGATCTCAAAAGAATATGAAATCAGCCATTCCACCGTCCGGAAAATAGTCTACAAGTGGAGGACATTCAAAACA